TGTCCTCCTGTCCACCTTACGCAACTCATCATAGTTGTCCAGGTAGACCCGAAACTGGTGCGAGGCCGTGCTCTGATGACGATCACGCCGGATCTCCTGCTCCCTTCCGGCCAACCGCCTTTCACCGCCTAAAGCCTGATGGATCACACGACGATGGACATGCTGAGCTATTGCCACCGAGTTCACGAACCCCATCGGCAAGACCCGACTTACAAGATGCCAGCCACCTCCAGCATACCCTTCTGGGAGGCCCTCGGCGGGGACCTCCCGTCCAAACCCCATAAAGCGGTGCCATTGCGGAGGTGTTCGGAATAGATAGAAGAAACAACGTATATCTTCAGAAGAGGTCAATAGCAGCTCACCGTCTTCTAAAACCGTTCCAGACATCCCTGTAACAGTGGGTAAGGTTGACGTGTCCCCCACCAGATTACGGCAGAGAGCATTGGTCGGAACCAAATTCATGATCAACCTGCACACCTCAAACTCCTCACCTCTGTCATCGATAGCCTTCTCTCCCTTCTCTACGGCAAAAAGTCCGTTTAGCACGGGTCGACCCCCCACATGAAACAGGTCCTCACGTCTCATCACCCCACAAACTCCTCTCTCAATCAGGCCACGGCACACCTCGGCCCAGTGCTCTTGGTTGACCATGATGGAGGGCGTCTTCCCGAGGCTTTGATCCTGGGGCGGAAGCAGGAATTGCTCGAAGTCTGTCACATACGACCGAGTTCCTCCCTCACAGAAGGCTTCTAGCTCCAAGGTCCCTACCCCCTCAGGGAAAGCCGCGGCCACCATCTTCCATTGGAATGACTTAGCTACTCGGACCTCCTCACCTGAGTAATCAATGCCTTTCGTTGCAAAGAACTCTTGAAAGGTTATGGGAGGAAGGGCAACTTCTGGCAGTTCACTGTGCCTAAGCACCTCCCTTAAACGCACCAGGAGCTTCTTCTGGATCTTTGATACCCTTGTGCTGGCACCAGTGGACACCCCATAAAGGCTGTTCAACCCTCGAACAAGAGCTTCCAACACTGAGTCAACCGGCTCAAACCATCCCAAAGTCCCTGGAAGTGGGAGAGGAAAAATTCCCTCCGTGGACTGCCCGCAACGCGTGGTCTTCGACAACACCTCCAAGGATTGAGACAGCGCCGGACTCAGCTCCCTCAAACTGCTTTCTTTTTTGCCACAAGCACTTCGCAGGTTCTTCTGCCATGAGGCTGGGCCCATCTGCTCCGTCAAAAAAGGATCTCCACGGCACGGCGTCAAAGCCAGTCGCGGCAAAGGGTTCCATGCAAAATGGGAGGATCTCGCAATCTCCCCTGCGCTTTCATTGGGCTGCTCCTCAATCCAGGCTCGGCGCTGTCCGCGGCCCATGCCAGCAGATTGCTTACTCCTCACCTCAGATTGGGAGGTCGCCTCAACCTCCCCTCCTTGGCCCGGCGGGCTTGGATGCTCGTTTTGGCTTCCGAACTCACCTCCAAGGTCATAGTCGCTATGCGTCCTTCCGCTCTCAACTGCCCTTTGGTAGCATTCTGTCAGCATCTCTTCTATTGCCCTCTCATCTTCTTTTTCTTTCCGTCTCTCCTCATCCTCTTGCCTCTGACCTCTCTTTGACTCATCTGCCCTCAATACTTCCTTTCTTCTTACTCTCCTTCCAATGCCTGTGCTCACCTCCTCAGAACCATCTATCAACTCTCCTCTTTTGTTTTCTTTCCCCATTTTCCTTTTTCTTTTCCTCTTCCCTTCTCACCTCCTTTGTGCTTGTACGCTGGTTCTGAGGTTGGCACAGGCTTGCCACGTCCTTTGGGCTGATGGTCACTGTCTCCTCGCTGAGCCATGCCGTAGGGCCGATTGCCAATGGAGCGATTACGAAACTCATCTCTCGCGCTTCTGGCTGCCTCGACCTGTTCAGCGGGTTCTGCTATACGGATCTGTTCCGCATTGACTAGCTCCAGCTGGCGGGAAACTGAAAAGTGTCCACCGCGGAGGGTCGCTTCAAGTGACTTCGCACGTTGAACGAGCACATCTAGCGCAGCGGCCACCTTCCTCCGGAGCAATAAGTCTGAGACCTGGGCGACAGTCACCAACTCCTGCCAAAGCACCGGACTTGCAAGCGATTGGAGGTGTTGGTGCGTGTACATCGAGAACAATGGACTGAGTTGATCTCGCGACACACTGTGCAACTCACCTCGAGAAGAAAGGAGATGTTCACGGACATTGTCCAAAGCCTGAGCCGTCAAGGCACCTGGGCACTTCTCACTCAACCTCCGGATCCTCCTTGTCTCCTCGAACAGCGGGCCCTCCTCCTCCGACCCTTTTTCAGTCTCACTCGACGAGCTTGATGACGACCCAGAGCTTCCTGAGTCAGACTTCTTTCGCTTCTTGTCCTTTTTCTTGCTCACACGCCGGGCCTTCTTCATAAGGCGCTTTCGCCTGGGTACGTTGGGGTCCAGGCATGTGTTGGCGAATAGGGCCCGTGCCGTCTTCTGCCCTCGTTCAAGCTCCTCTGTCTCTTCTTTCTTGGCGAGCATCTCATCATACTCCTTCTCAGCTGTCCTTTCTTTTCTCTTCCTCTTTTTGCCCTTCTTCTCTGCGGCAACCACGGGTGACTTGCTTCTCTCTTTCAGTCCTTCTTCGTTGGGAGGCTTGACACCTCCCCTCCCCTTGCCCCGGTCCATAGCCATCTCACGAAGTCCGGCCAACTCATCAACCTCTCCTTCATCAGCAGCCTTAGCGGGGACGAGGTTGGTATGCCAGGGCTTTGGCGCCACGGCCGCATCCCAAAAGCCTCGAGCATGGAAGTAGTTGTCACCCGTCATCAACTGTGGACAACCGGCAGGACACGCGTGCACCGTCACTGTCCTCGAGTGCTTTCCCCCGAAGCGTTCCAGCACACGGTCCGTCATCGTGCCCGTCAGCTCAAACTCCACCTCCTCGTCGGAGGGCTTCAACCCCCTGATTCGGCCAGCAATCTTGGCATGCGCCCCGTAATACGATGTCTCGCCAAGCTCAACAATGTCCAATTCCTTCATTCTGTCCAAGGTCAATGAGGTCAAGGGATGATACTCTTCTGTCACTGGTTTGTCCGCCTCCGGCTCATCAGTCTCCAATGCCCGTGCAGGCCTCCTCAACGGGCGCACCCGCGCCGGCATCGCTGCTGGTCGTCTCATCTTGGGAGCCATGACTCCCCTCACCACCTTCCACGAGTGTTCCTTCTATCGAACAACTCCTGCTTCGCTCTTTTCGTCACACCTTTGTTGGTCCCTTCACTCCACCTGGGATGATCAGAGTAGGGTACCGGGCCTCTCCACCCTCTGCCTGGAAGCTTGTCTCGTCCTGCGGCAGGCGGGATAAGATCTGTCCTGGGCGGTGGATGATCTGGAGTTCGAGGGGATCGAGGTTCACGTTGACTGGGACGAGGGCGGAGAAAGGGTTCTCTCTGGATGCCACTGCTCGGTCGAACTGACTCGGGTACTCCTCGACTGTCTCTAGCTCTGGGAGAATGGTCCTCCCTTTTCTTCCGTCTGGTCCGTGAACCGCTCACAGATCTTGACTTGCTATCCTTCTTTTCCCTGTCTTTTTTGTCCTTCTCCTTCTGCCTCTGCGGGGTTCGGCTCCTTGCTCTCCTGCTCTCTTCTTCCTCCTTCTTTTTGGGCAATGTCTTGCTTCCTTCACTCTTTGTTACCTCTGCTACCTTCTTTTGCACCTCCTTCTCGCTGACTCTCTTGCTACCTGACTCTTCGCCTGGATCCTCTGCTTTCTTTCTTTTTTCTTTTGAACTTTCCTTGGGAGATCTCTCTCCCTTGGTGCTCCTCTCCTCCACCACTCGTTTGGGAGGCGCCCCTCCCTTTGTTGGCTCCTCCTCGTCCGATTCAGGAAAGAGCCTGGCGATGGAGTAGTAGGCGGAATCCAAGACCTTGGTTACTTTGGCCTCAGCTTCCAAGGTAGCCGGCAACCGATCGCTGCCAGCCGCAGCGCGCAACCGCTCGATGGATGCGCACACGGTACACTGACCTGCCAGAAGCCGCCACTTCTTGCAGCGACTGCAGGTCAGCATACCCTGTTCTCGAGCCCAAAGCTCCGTGGAATGCGAAACTGATTCGTTTTTAGTTATGGGGGCATTCAACCATATAATTACAAGGAGCTAGTCGTCCAGAAACAAGCATGGGAAGGAACAAGCTGCCATACAAGCCTTGAGAGTGGCTGGCTTCTGAAACCCGAAAGATACCAGCGCAAATCGCAGGTACCAAGCACAACAAAAGGTCCCTGACTCATCACTTCCGTCGCCTGCGCCAGCTGAGAATGGACATCGCATTTGGGGCAAAAGCACTCCATCACCCAGGGGGTTCAACGACTGGATGCGGCATCGGCTGGAGACCACCACAGGTAGATGGCCCAACATCTCAAAGATCCCGGCGGGAATGACACCCTGCAAGGAACACAGTTTGCGGAGCCTTCATTGAATGCCTCGAAAACAGACCTGAAATATTTTTTGTCAACTCACATTGGGTAGAGTCAATGTTGCGAGAAAACCTGCTGTTTCGAAGGCCTGTTGTGGATCTTCGGGGGCGGTCTTCGTGAAGTTCGGCATCAAGATGACCCCAAGATCGGGAGGCTCAGTCTGGAAAAGCGAGAGCAAATCCTCGTAGCAGGCGGTTCGGATCTGCGGCAAGCCCGAAGGTACTCCTGGAAACATGCTCAGTGGCTTCCAGGTGGCAAATGGAAAGCTAACTCTTTTCTGGCCAGTCTTCGAGCACATGCAAAAACAATGAGATATTGTTGTGGAGGCAGACACGCTGCTTCAAAGCCGCTTCTGCATCTTCCAACGCCAAGTTTCAGGCATCCAAATGTGTACATGCCAGTGGTTTCGGTCTCTCTGACATGGTTTGTTGAACCAGGATGCAGCAGTGAATCAAGCCTTCTTTTGTCATGACACACAACATGGTAAGTGGACAATGGACAAAGGTTCACTTGCTGGAGCTGGAACTACTGACTTCCCTGGCTTATCGAATTTCATCCCTGTGGCCATAAGAGATCATACGAGAAATCTCGAGTCCTTCTGCTTTCGGTGACTCGATATCCGCGCTGGCAGCTTTCTTCTCCAAGAGCTTTCCAAGGCCCAGCTGCCTTCCATCAATCAGGACCTCAGCTTTAGGTTCTACAATAGACGACGACTACTTGGTGGTTCTTGGTCATTTTGAACTTGTTCAGATTGGGCCCCGTCTGCAAGCAAGGGTATCTATCTTACGATGGGGCCCACGTCAACGAGGGACCCTGAAATCCCACAAAACAATGACCAAACCTATCAAATCCAAGGACCAGGATCTCATTGCTCTCCAGCCAACCTCTCCAATGTTCAATCCGTTTCGGCCCCCAACCTGCCATGGTCCCCCCACGATCGATTCCCAATTGGCTCTGAGCCACCCATGTGGGACCTACACTCCGCTGCCGGATGCGCACGCAGAGCTCGGCGCTGGCCTAAGAGATCGAGGGACGTAGGGTGCCGGAAGACATGGGACAGGAGTAGTGTGATTTGCTCTCACTTGCTCTAATTTCCAGATACTAGGCGGGACATGCAAACAGGATAAAGAGACTTTTGGACCTGCAAACAACTGGAGGTTGGACCTGAACTCTGGATTTGCGGGCTGGTGTTCAGTCTTCAAAGGACTGTGATGTTGGCATGCCAGGGCACTTGGTCCAATCGTAGCCAACCTCCTTCTTCCCTGCCGTGCACCTCAAGGCTGGTTCAACCTCTTACATCCTCTTCAGAATCCAACCGTTCACACTGAGCAAAAGGGAGACACTATAACCCCAGACAATCCCCAAGTACTTCCCCAAGTCTACCTCCCGAAAAGCAGGTCAATCAAGGGCAGCCCATGCCCATGGCCCATGACCCTCGTCCGAACACTCACTGGCCTCTGTGCCTTCAAAGAGATCTCCTTGGTTGATCGAACCCTGGATGCATCGAGCTAGAACGACGATCTGCTGGATCACTGGATGTTCTGTATGTCTAGAAATTCTACGGTACTTACACGGAGATTGGCTTGTAGAAAATGATGGTCTTCCAACAGTTTCCGTTGGTTGATCTCGAAACAAGGAATATCCAGTGGTTGAAACTCCACAATCGTTTGTCAGAAATCCCAGAACTAGCCATAGGGACACAACATCTGTTGAAAGCTTGAAGATCTGTGACGTATTTTTCTGATGTGGCACACTGCTAGTCAGTACCAAGAAATAGGTTGTGTCTGATGTGTCCTACTTGCCAGCAAGCGTCCAACATACTTACCATCAATGGAGGGATAATCACGCACAAAGACTCTTGAATAGACTACCACATAGGTGGCTGCATCTTCTTTGGTCACAGAGGCGGCAACTGTCTCCTGCAGTCTTTTTCGGATAGTCCGGGTCCGGACATCTGTGTACATCTGTGAAGCAGTTGGAACCCCTGAACTTCCACACTTCAACTTGCGACCAACGGCTCCTTGGACACCTTCGTCTTGCTTTCCTCCTCGACCAAATCTTCTAGAAGGTTTTCCCCAATGATGTATACCTTTGTTGGAGCACGGTCCAGCCAGTTCACATCCTTGAAGTATCCTTGCTCTGCAAGGGAGACTTCCACTTCGGCTGTTGCACCAAGCACCCAAATCACAAAGGTTGCATCTTCAACTCCTGCAGTTTTGTCACAGAAGTGATGACTCGTTGATGACACCGCAGACTACAGTGCTACTAGCCAGTGCAAACAAAAGGACTAGCCGCTCTTCTTGTACCTTGCTCGAAACAGTCTGGAAACAACACCGTTAGCCTCCGCCTACCTAAAACTGGGCAAAATATTGGTAGAGGCGGTAAAGGTAAAGAAACAACGTTCATCGCAATTTCCTGAATGCAAAGCTTAACACCTCCTACAGACTCTTTCAGCCTCACAAACTCTCATGTTCCCTCTCAAACCAAACTGCGGTCGGCCCATTTACACCGGCCCCACTCCACAGCGGACTTCGAACCCCGCACTCCATCGGACTCCATCTGCTCCTTTCATGGGGATCCCTCGCATGCCCAAGGTCATCTGCGCAAAGGCCACACTCCGTGCCCAGCTCTTGGCCCTCCGCTCCAGTGGCACCAAGGCGGCGTGCTCCACCCGCAGAGCTTGGCTCAGCACCTCTTCGGGCGGCCATGTGGCACAGCACCCCGGCTTTGTGGAAAAAATAGTAAGGTGCCTTGTTACTAGTAGTTTCTTGCTACTAGTAGTACGGTGCCTTGTACAACGGGTGGTCCATACAATTTTTTTTGGACTGACTGGTCAGGACCTCTAGTCTGATGATATTGCGACTGGAACCTGGTGCTGCAGGACACCCGCAGAACTATTGTAAGAGAAGTTGTGGCGAAGAGTCTTGGGTTTGCTGTTGCCAAGTCGGCAAGTTCTGCTATAATGTCTGCACATAAACTAGTGAACTGAAAACACCCAAACACATACACATACACATACACAGACAAACAGACATACTCTCAAATGGATTGGTAACTTCTCCACCAAAAACAACAGCAACCGTATGAAGCCCTGCTTCTATCCAAACTCAATGTTCGTGAATAGACCCTCTGGTTTCCGGTTGAGCGTCCTCACTCCCACAAGTCAGAGGTCTCCCTTCCACTGTAGCTCTAAGACCGATTGTCCATGGCCCAAGCAATCGACGACCCCCTAGTTGCCCAAACTATGTTTTGGTCTTCATGTTGAATGACTTTGGGTGGACCTGTCCATTTTCCTTCCTTTCTCCTTAAATCATGATCCACTCCCCCGGCTGGAAGTTTCCTCTGGATGGACGAGATCGTTGATTCAACGCCCGTCGGAGGACCTGGCTGTTGTCCACCATGCAAAAGGCTTTCCTTGCTCTTTGTCGGATCAACAGCTCACACTTCCACCATGGTTTACACACCGGGCTGACCCACATGCGGCGTTGGGGATCTTGATGAATATGCGCAAACAGTCTCTTGCGACTTGAGGGGTTCTTGAGACCCGCTTGCTCTAGACCATGTCGGTGTGCGTTCAGAGTTCAGACAAGCTCGCTTTTCGGAGAGCGCAAAAGACTTCGAACAAGAAACACTTGCTTTGTTTGGTCAGCTTGACGATGGTCTTGGCTTGTTCTAGCTCTTTACGCAACAATGCCTTGGTTCGAGGATACATTGAATTTGTCTTAGGCTCATCTGTCAAAACCGGCTTCTACTTCTTTCAAATTGTCTAGAGCCAAGCACATGGAATCCAACTCACGGGGTTGGCTCTGGCTTATAAAGGTGTCTCCTCGGTCTTGACCGTTGTCCCAGCTCCGGCAGCAGGTGGAGTGTTCATCAATGTCCTCAGGTGTTGGGCGATCTCGTTCATCCTGCCCTCCACGTTGCGCACGCGCCTCTGGAGGTCCGCAATCTCTTCGGTCTGCAGAATTTCGGCGATCATGGGCGTCGTGTCGAATTCCTCTGGCGTGTACGGAGTCGGCTTGCTCTTGGCTTTGAGAACCTTTTTACGGGACTCAGAATTGCCTTTCGTTCGCAGCTTGACATACTGAATGTACATTTTGGTGTTCTTTCTTCTCTGAGTGCTCGAATCGGCTGGCCACGAACCTGGTCCACGACAGATCTTTGAACACTTTGATTCCGAACTTGACCTTCCCAAATAGGATCGTTTGCCTGGACACCTCCTTGAGAGTCATCAAGGTGATCTCTTCTTGATTCGCCTGGGATCGACCTGTTCCCGGTCCTTCTGAAGGCGAAACCCAACATGATTCGTCCGGGCTTGGATTTCTGGCTGGTCAGAGCAGCCTGAGGCACGAGTGATTACACTGCCTGCAAACACGTGCAACTTCTGACGGCTTTCGGCTGTGACGTCGTTTCGGTTGGTTTGGCGATCACGACACTGCTCTGGCTGGCTTGCTTTCCTTTTCACTTGCTGCTTGGGGCTATTTTTGAGAGTCAGGAAGACAGCCAAAGAGTTGTTTGGTTGATTATTGTCTTTTTTGATTCTTTAAAAGATATGAAAACTAATTTTTGTTGATTTTTGGAGATTCCATTTTTATGCGTGTAATGATCTTTTTGATGTTTTATGATGTTGTTTATGACGTATTTTATGACTTCTTTATGACTCTTTATTGATTTTCAACAAATCAGCAAATCGACAAAATTCATATTCATAGTTTTCTCATTTAAAAAGTCATGCGTTCATAAAAATTTCCAAACAAAGAAGAGTTCTATTTTTTCAACTGTTTGTTGAGAATGAAAAAAGTCCATATTTTTTGTAAATATTATTGTTTTATGCTTTTTTATGAAAATTGTATGGTTTGTTGAGCGCATCAAGAAATCATAACATACTTTATTTCAAAAAACACCTAGAAATTTTAATCAAAAACACAAGGTTTACAAAAGAAAACACACACACACAAGTTGTTGGTTCATAAATGCGTTTCATAGAAAGAAAGAGAAGTAATTCATGAAAACATATTTTGGGAATCATATGTTCTAGCCTCTCCCCAACTCACAAGGCCATTTGGGATGGTCTCGGCATTGGTTGCCAAAGCTTGGTCTTCGTCTTGCCACAATTGATTGGTGTTCACCAAAAGCCAGTTCTTCCATCTTCATGCATTTTCCCAGAAGCTTTGCCCTCAGGGTTTCATTCTCAGTATCAATGACAGGTTGATACGCCGGAACAGGGAGCAGGATGTGAAAAAAAACGCGTTCCCTTTTACAATGGCTACGCCACGCGAATCCAAGCGTGCTGAAGCCGGATCAAAACGGCTGTCCGGCTCGGGAGGGCTTGACGATTTCCAAACTTGAAAACAAGATTGGGCTTGGTCCTTTTGACTTTGTTTCTGACGTTTTAAGGCAAATGCTCAACCAGTTCACCTACTTGTTCATCACCTATCACTGCTTGCGACGCTTGTAGGTCAACGACCCCTATTGTTCCCGTTCCCGAGCTGGCAAACAGACTTGGACATTCGGCTTTCGAAACGGGCGCAGGCATCTGGCTCAAACTCTCACCTGCGCCTCGGCATGGTGCGCTGGGACCACAAAATTTCGTCGTCGGCGGCGAAACGATTGTCTGAGTTTTGCCTCTAATCGGTTTTCTATGTCTTGAACACAAGTTTCCACCGTTCCCGAACACGTTTCACCGATGTCCTTTTCGAGATCCGTGACTTCCACCTCAGGGATTTGTGACAAGTCAAATGTCACGGCAGCTGACGTAGGCACTGTCACGGAGTTCTTGTCTGGATGGCTTTCACTCGATCCGGATCGCTTCAACGGACATTCCCTTGCTGATAACACAACCTGCAGTACGACTCTGAGATTCTCTGCTCGAGTTTTTTGAACTTTGAACCCACGGCCACCTTTGGATCCGGTCTTGCCCTTTGAAGACAACTTGCCACGGCCAAACGGATGAACAGGAGCTGGAACCTTTTGGAGAACTCCAAATCCACGTTGCTTCACTTTCTTCTGGAGGCGTTTTCGTGCTCTAGGTATGAGGAGAAGTAGACTGCCAAGTCACTGTCATCTTGGGTTGAATCCTGAATGGCATTCTCGAACTGGAGGGTGAGTGCTGCATCAGGGTCATCGGCCGACAGCTGCTTCAAGGTTTCGTCGTCCAGAACCTCTTCAGCAAAAATCCAAGGCTCTTCATCGCCTTGGAATTCTTCGATCTCCTCACCAGCTAGCGCGGAGTTGTCATATGTCTTCAACCCCTTGCCCTTGCGACCAGCTGTGTACTCCTGAAAAAAGGACGATCCCAAGAAACGGACTGCCGTCCGCACCTTTGCCACTGTCAGACTCTTTTCTTGTCGTCAGACGACAGTCTGCTCCGAAGCAGGATGTAGGCCTGAACTTCACTGAGTTTCACACCCTTCATGTCCATCTCAATCCAAGCAACGTCGGCTCTTGCCAAAAAACTGTCTGCTGTTTCACCGTGCTATTGCTGACACTTGAACAAAGCTTTGTCCACAACGTCGAACTTCTTCTCCAGCGCGACCTGGCCAAATTGGCCGCTGACCAACTCCAGGATGCGGGCTGTCCCTTCCTTGGCACCAGTCAACACTTCGCTTTGACAAAGTTCGAGTTTCTGAACGGCTGACCCCTTTGTATTGAGAACAATGCGTTCTTGAAGCTCCAGCAACTTTGCTTCCGGCCATGCTTTTGCCAACAAAGAAGTCTTCTGCTTCCACTGCTCAACATTGTCCTGACCAGGATCGAACGTGGGCACAAGCTGTGCCAGCTGGCTCGTCAAGCTTCCCTCGCTTGATAAGCTCGGTGCGGATACCGGCACTCTGCAAAGGTCTCATTCCGGGCTCCGCTAGCTTCACTGCCCTGCAGCAAAGACAACAACACCTCTATGAAGCCCTGCTTCGATCCCAACTCAATGCTCAACCACCAATTGAAGTCCTCTTCAATGTAAAAACACGTAAGTAGACCCTCTTGTTTCCCGTTGAGCGTCCTCTCTCCCACAAGTCAGAGGTCTCCCTTCCACCGTAGCTCTAACACCGATTTTCCATGGCTCAAGCAATCCACGACCACTCCCACCACACTCGACGGGCACGGCAATGGATGGCATCAACATGTGACCAGGAAAGGTTTGGCTCTTTCCATCCATCCATCCATCCATCCATCCATCCATCCATCCATACATACATACATACATACATACATCACCATACCATAACATTACAGTGCAGTACATGACATTACATTACTTACATACATACATTAAATATATACATTTTGTTTGCTTGCTCGGCAAAGGACCTCTAAGGACTCCCAATATTGTGACTCCACAAGCTCATCATCATCTTCGAAGTCTCGTACAGCTGGCAGAGGCTTAGGACGTCGAGGAGCATGCTCCTGAAGCGGACCAAAGGCTACGCAAAGAACTCACGGACCTAGTGAAAGACACATGTTTGAGAAAACCAAATCTCAGAGAAGAGAATGCGGTTCATTGAACCGGACGTCGATCACCATGCGTCCACGCAAAATGGCACGTGCAAACGGTTTGCACCTGACATCTTCCCACTATCTCTGACCTTTGTCTATCCTTTGTTTCAGAAAGTAGTTGTGCCCCTGTACGCAACAGCTCCTTGGTAACTCGCTTTGCGATAATATTATCGCCCCACAGCCCGGAGTTGCTTTGCATGAATTTCAGCGTCATCTCATGCCAATCCTGAGATTGCTGCGCCGGTGCAGAGAACAGGCCAGTTGGCTTCAATGCCCAAAGCACGGTCGCAAGCTTTTAGATGCCTTCCTGTAATTTCCACAGGTGCTTTGAAGAAACTGTACATAAGTTTGCATAGTCAACATTAAGAAGGCTTCCTCCATTCAAACTTTGCAACGTAGTGCCAGGACCAACGACACCAGCTGAACGTGCCTGTCATCCCCGACTGCAACTATATATTGCCGTCAACTCCAAAGCCCGATCATGCAAAACTGCTGCTCTGAACCTCTGCATATTCTTGGAACCTCTGAGTCTTGGCCGCCTTGGCCCTCAGTTCTCCACTCAGCTTCAACTTGATGTTGCTCCTACCCCTGGGCCTTTCCTATGAGGTTTCTATTTTCTCAGCTTCCGGTGAGGCATTTGGGCGTTTGGGTCCCCGTCCTCTCGGAAAATGGATCCAGGTGTCAGGTCCATGCGTCACTTTCACAGAGCCGACTTGCTCGGATTCCTCCTCACAGTTCCCAAATCGATGGACTTACGACTTGCGTATTATATCTATAGATTAATACTATGTTATATAAATGTGTATATATATATAACTATAGATAGTTATACATATGTGTATATAGTATTACTGTATATAAGTGATCTGATGGATTGAAGAGTGCAGCTAATATGCAAATCACAGACCACTGCTTCTGGGCACCAACCAGGACCTTGTCGGAAAAAGTAAAAAACAAAACAACCCTGCTTCGGTGAACCCGAGGAGTCCTTGCAAGTAAAGAGTTCGGCCCGGAGCCAGTCGGCATCGTCATAGAGAACGCCCACCAGTGTGCCACCGAAGATGTGTGGACCTTCCCAAAGCCTCACTTGAGCCCAACACATGGAGTCGACAGTCGACATGTTTTGTGTGCCAATAGTAGCTTCTTGTTCCTAGTAGTAGGAATGTTTCTAGTAGCGATGCCAGGAGCCTCTAGTAACGTCCTTGCTCCTAGTAGTAAGGCCAGGAGCCCCTAGTAGCTTCTTGTTACTCTCGTTTTTTTTGTTGGGCAGGGCAACAGTATTTTTTTGTTCGGTTCTTAGGACATGTTCTCTAGACAACCGATGGACACCTCCGGAGGAAATGCGGCATACTGGGAGATCAAAATCATCCGAATTGCTAAAGAATATGAAGGTGGAAAACAGTCTCTCATCCAAGGCACAACTGTCCATCTTCTGTATGCTGGATTTCGTACTGCTTGTTGTGTCGCCCATGTTGCCAGGTTCCAACCAGAGGTAAGCTATCTTCCTCAGCAATATGTAATGGGTTTGTTTCAGCAGCTGACAGTTGACTTGCTCTGTGTGTTCTTGTTCAGGGTATGGCTGCAGTCATCTGATCGGCCTATTTGCCTGGCCTACCAGACTGGACCAATTAACTCACCGGCGTTCACAAGGGAGTGGCTTCCTCGCATGGAGTCTGAAAACCACATGGGTAAAGGCAGAATCTGGTTTCTGGCATAAATGATTCTTCAAAGCAGCCCACCGCCCACCCTCTCTGCCCATTACACAGAGACGCACACGTCCAAAAAAATGCTGTTTTCGAGAAATAGACTGGTTTTGCCTGGGTCCAGGCAGCCCGGTTCCATGCAGCGATTGAAACATTCACATCGGTTTGTTTGTGTGTGTGTGTCAGATCATGCATTGTCTCACAAGTTTCTTACTTACTTGCATGAAAAAGCCTGATCGATCCAACAAGTTGGAGCGTCTCCAGCAAAATCAAAACCCGCGATTGCGCAGTCATAGCAACTTGGTCCGGGAAAAATTCCACATTGCTCAGAATTTATAAATCTCTTTGGTCTGATTTACTTCATAACATGTTCAAAGTGATATGACCTACGTAAATCATGCAAACAGAAACGAAACCCAGCACTTCTTACGATTGGCAATGAGACCTGAAGAAGCACAAAGCTTCACACTCTATCCCAGCCAAGACTGATGAAACACTCGAGCCTCATTGCGGGATCCATTCCAAATCCGCGATGCCAGAAGATATTTTTCGAGGCGAGTGAGTTTCTTGTGTGGGCAAGTGCCTCCTCCCTGCAGCAAAGGCTCAACCTTTTCCAAGAGTTCTACCAACTGCTCTCGTCGTTCCAAATCATGAATCTTGGTGACACCGTACCTAGGCCGGACGTGCTACATGGAATTCACCTCATGCAACGCTCAAATCCATCCTTGTGGGAACCAGTTCATCCAATGAGCTTGACAAGTGCTTGATCCTGATGCCATCATGTGTAAAACTATGGAAGCTTGGGGGTCGTTGAGTCCTGGTTCTGACAGCTGCCATCATGTTGGACCCTCGCCGGGTAAATATGTTTTGAGAATTAATTACTCCAAAACCATCAAGAAGTGCATCGTCGACAATCGTGGTTTAGACTGCTATATCTGGGGCAAAGCACACGTAAACTCCAACAGTGCAAGAGAAAGGGTGGATCCCCACAGCTGTCCAAGGGGCTCTTTCAAACACAGCTTCACCTCTTGCGCAGACAACTCTGAAATGTCCGTGAGAACCACATCCTCCTCTTCCTCCGTCTCCTGGCGATGGCGCAAGCGAATCCAGCGCGGGCAGCATTCGGTGTCTTGATCCGTCAACATTCGGTGCAGCCGTCTGTGTTCAAAAAGGTTGTTGCGGTAAAAGAAATCAGCAGCGCTGATTTGGGAAGTCTCTTCAAGATGTCGCATGAGAAGCACTCTGGCACACGCTATGATTTCATACAGTATAATTATGCCAAAATCAAAGGATGGTACAACATCAGCGAACATCCAAAGCGACCCAAGACCCAAGACTGCAAATTCTCAGCCTGAATTTTGCCTGCCTTTCCACAAGGGAAAGCTGCCAAACAGAACACCACGCAGAAAGAAAAGAGCATGTGACATCACACCTTATGTTGAGGCTGTTTGGTGTTCTGTGGCTCGTGATATTCCAGACCAAAGTCAGAGTAATCGCAGTAGAACAATCGCGGCGATGGTCTCAACCACGAAATCTGCTCTCTGGATTTGAGCGCTGTTATGTGATCGCCTCTTTCACAAGTCGGTGGAGGGAACTGCTACCGCGTTATGTGCAGCTTCTTGAGCTCATCGGCCACGTCCTCTTGTTGGATTTCGTGACCAGAGAATCCGCATCCTGTTCTTTCCCAATTTAAAGGTTGCCTTGCACCGCTCGCTTCGAGCACCTTTTTGGCAACTTTCAGTGACAGAGGAATGGGCTAAATGCTCGACTCTGCATGTCCACAAGGTTCTGTAATTTTCAAAGCTGGCTTTGCCTAGTCTCTCGCATTCAAAGCCAGTTCACCATTCCAATCCTTCACATAAAACAGCTGTAGCACACGCAGCCGTTCGAAGCTTGCTATTCTGCTGTGGGCTTGAAAGATTTCATTTTGCTCAGGAGGTTATAATGGTCAAGTCATTTTTCCAATTTGCGAAAGTGCTTCTTTCCTCATTTTAATGAGAGGGCACCTCCCAAGCTAAGAACTCTGACCTAACAAACACAAAGAAACTGCTTGGCAAGTTTTGGGCTTGGTAGGGAAGCATTTCGATCAGAGTGCGAGACATGCAATGCGGAGAAGATTTGCAGTGATCGTTGCGCCAGGTCTGCAAATTCCGTCGATCAAAGGCCACGTGGAGAAACAGGCCACAAGGCTGACCAGGACTCATAGCTGGTGAATTGTCCACTGCATGCCCGTGTTTCCTTCCGACCATATCTTCGCTTGGAGGGCTCTCCTTTTAAACAAAGCACACTACACCATTCAAACCAATTACATGTTTCCTTTCATGGCTCCAGACCACCGGGACCCCTTTGGCTCCGCACGCTCCGCACCTCGTCGAAGCTGGGCCGTCGTAGGGGCTCTTCTTCACCCACACGCTCCGCAATCTGGGCCCCGGGCAGAAGAAAACCGCCCAACAAGATCACCCAAAAAATGCTCAAAGCGTCAGCCGTTTCGGGTTCTTGTCATCCACTTTAGCTGCTTTAGCTTGCTCCACTGAAGTTTTTGGGTGGCGTCCGGCGTCCACCCTGTATTTGCACTGAAAAATCCCCTTTCCACCCCGACCCCCTAAAACTTCAAAGTTCTTCTCAACTGCCTGGCAAGGGCCACACCTTTCGAAGGAACAGTCAAGTGGGGTACCATCAGCACTTCATGGCCAACGATTCGACTGAAAAAAGGAAAATACGAAGTGCAACCATAGTTCTGCTTCCCAAGCACGGCGGAAACACCCTTTCAAGACAAGAGACGATGTCACTGCCCCATTCCGTCATCATGTGGCTTCCTCAAAACTAAAGCAAACAGCAAAAGCCAAAAGGAAAACGCAAAAAAAATGAGTTCTTTGATACTGCTTGAGGAATGGCCCAAGCTGTCAAGGAGCTGAAGTTTGACATGACCTCGTTCCATTTTGGACCGTGTCGAAGTCGGATTGATCCTTGGCCATAGACTGAACTCAGCACCAGGTCCAAAGGGAACTGCTTTTGCGGCTCATCCAAACAGTTCGATGAAATTGTGGGTCTTAGGCAATCTCCGATGGTCTCATTCTGGTTGGTCATCAATTGTGCCACCAACCAACCTTCATCTTCCTCCAGAATGCCGCTTAGCATGCCACCTTCAGAGAAGGAACGGGTGTAGGTCGAGCCATGAAACTATTCCCAAGTCCAAGTAATTACACTTGTTTTCGGCTATGAACAAAATCACGCTGGGTAGTTCTGGACAGTGTGCCTATGGCTTTTGCGCTTGAAGCGGACGTGCTTTTCTGGTTGAAAGCAGAAACCCTGTGCCTCTGGAATGTGGTCCCTCCCACTTCAAGACTCCGGAAATCAAACGGCGGATCTGGTAGCTCTTGCGGTTGGGGGCCTTCCCGTACCTTGGTAAGAACGATCACGCGGTCAGAACTACGCTGATTTTATCCATCAACCTCGTTGTTCAAGACAAACGTTGTTCGCGTAGAGCGGCTGCCAGCGGCCCACTAGGGGTACTGTAGCTTCCACCTTCGCCAGGAGTTCCTCGACTTGCAAAGTTGAGAGACACGGGATGACTTTCATCTGGGAATGGAGAAAGTAAAACCATTCTTTAGAATTTGTGTCAAAGTCTACCAAGTCATGGGCGGCAAAAGTTTAGGAATCTCAGCTTGAAAAGGAGTGGCCAATCTGACACTTAAGGTCCATGGACAACATGAATTCCAAGTCAAACAAGCAAAATCATCAGTCACTGATGCAGGCCAGATTCTACAAGAGATTCTTTCTGATTGAAGAAGCGCCCATATTCGGTGACTCCATACTCCTATCACACTTCTTTGTGGGTGTGACACAGCGCCCTGTAGAGCTTGTTGGGTACTCCGTCCAGTCTGCCAGTAATGCAAACATACAGAGATACATCGCAAGGGGCTGCTAGTAGCGTTCTTGCTCCCAGTAGTACGGCCAGGAGCCCCTAGTAGCTTCTTGTTCCTAGTAGCGATGCCAGGAGCCCCTAGTAGCATTCTTGCTCCTAGTAGTAGCACTACAAATGTTGCAGCTTCTCCTTTAGGCACTCTTTCAGCTGAAGCAAGGACAACGTGGAGAGCTCGGCAGCTGCAGCTATCGAAGACACGGCCTGCAACGGCATGACTGCCCGGGCCTGAAAGCAAAAGAACCGCTAAGGGCCTCTAGTTTCTTTGAGACCCTTAACTTTCATGATCCAAAAGTTGAAAGTCCTCGGCTTTCAACAGAACTAGCCTTGATTGGAACCAATCCAGGCTGTGCTTCTGCAAATGATGGCTTGGATTCCATAGAAGGAAACGGGGGTCGGCAAATTCGAATCTCCGCGGTCACTCCTTGGTACACTGCCAATGCATGATCATCATATTGCATCGCCAAGGTTGCATTCCACGGGCAGACTTTTATGTACATCTTCTAGCAGTCAGGCACCACACAGGCAGGAGGCCAGTCCAATAGCAAAATGCCTGTGAACTTGCTTCATCCCAGGTGCGGGTAGCGCAAACATCTGCACCCCATTGAGTGACAGAGTTTGTCTTGAAGTTCAGGCTTAACTGGTCCCTGGGCAGAGGAAGCTGGCATGTGAAATGGAAGAAAGAGACGGGGATCCAATGTGCCAACGTGCTATGCAGTCGTTTGGATCTATCTTGTATACAAATGGAGCATATGTCCGTGCATCCTACCATCTCGCAATACGAGATGTTGCATGACTCAATGGACAAATAAGAGTCATTGGAATAGTTTGCTTGATGTCAGCTCCTACTAAAGAATAACACCAAGCCCACCCGCAGAGTCCAGAAAATACCCATGGACATGAAGCAGCTGGCTCTTTTATTCAACCAGTTCGCCTTCTCCTTGCAGGCTCAGTCACCATTCTGGTCCATGACGAAGTCGCACCGATCCGATCTTCTCCTCCTTTGGAGTCAAGAGCTCGCTGCAAATCCACATGCCTTCCGGAGTCAAGACCTGCAGGTGCGAGGTGCCAAATCACGGCTTGGCCTCTGGGGGAGCCAAAGACAAAAGGGAATGACTCTCCGAGTTAACTTCCAAATAGTAGCGTTCTTGCTACTAGTAGTAAGGCCAGGAGCCCCAAGTAGCGTCCAGGAGCCCCTAGTAGCCTTTTTGTGATGGAAGTGCATGGCACCGCCTGTTTGTACAGGAAAATGGTCATCCAAGGGAGCATGTTTTACTTCCATAATGATTTGAGGGAGTGTCACTACCCTGGCTTTTCCCAAGCAGGAAGTCAAGCAACTCCAAGCAAAGGTTCTCCAGTGATGTGAGAGCCCTGCCAGAGAAGTTTGCCACTCTTGTTGAGAGCAATCTTGTAGCTTCTGCCAAACTTCCGATGCTCCTCGGCGCTAGGCAGACGGAGCAGGGTGAGACAAGACATCACAGACGACCCTACTCCATTGAACGGCTTACTACTGCCGTCTCCTCAAGCTGGGTGATGGTTCCAAAAAAACAAAGGAAAATCAAAAATAGTATCAAAAAGTGTGTTTTTTCCAGTGCGCACTTGCACAGGGTTGGAGGGTCGTTGCCCCAGAGAAATCTGCTTTTCGCCTTCCTTTTGACACGGGACTTGGAAAGGAAAAGGCACTCAGACCTCCGATTTCATCGACCCTCTTCGCAGCGCAGAACCGCTTCTCCACCGGCTTCGACGTGTCGAAACGGAGCGCTTTTCGCCTCCGTCCACCGTCCGTCCATCATCAACTGATCCAAACAAAACCATCAACAGGCCAGGCACGAAAGGCACCAACGAAAAAAAACTCTATTTAAAAAAAATAGGCCTGATTGATGCACTTCTCTTGTTAACATATTTTCTGATGCAGGTCTTATCCATTTCTGATGCATATGCCCTGAATCTAGTGCTCAGGTGACACTTTTGAACAGTTCCACCGTTTTTCAGTGTGGCATGAATGTTTTGCCACATCCGAAGCGACAGCGCCTTCAACGGAGTGTCTACAGTCTACACGTGTTTGCGAAGCATCAACATTCTCATTCTTTTTGCCAAGCCTCCCACACGCCAACCAGCGGCAAAAATATTTCGATCTGCTGAAGCAGCTTGGACATGAACAAAGCATCATTGTTGTATTCCGTTACCCCATACTCCTTCAACGCTGCTGATTTCTCAGGAGCCAAGGCTGAAAAGCTTTGGAGCAAAAAAGGCCCTGCACAAACCTTCTGTTCAAGCGTTCTCAACGAGCAAGTATCTGCCCCCCCATCTCTCTCTCTCTCTCTCTCTCTCTCTCTCTCCGTCCGTCCGTCCGTCCGTCTGTCTGTCTGTCTGTCTGTCTCTCTCTCTCTCTCTCTTCAGAGTTTGAACAGGGCTCAATCAACGTAGTTAGATCCAAAGCAGCAGATTTGTTCAAGACCTACCACAATGGTCAAAGATCCTCAAAGCTGGTGTTTTCACAGTTGGACAAGACATGCTGTCCTTCAAACAGCGCTGGATATCACTTGGTGACAGAGATGCCTTAGCTCACGAGATGTGTCCAGAGCCTGAAGGCTGTGAAGGCTGTGAGGCCCATGTGAAACTCTGTTCTTGGCCTCCTCATATCTGTACAGGACCAGTGGAGTTTTCTCTCTGGGGGCGAAAACTCCGAATTATTGGGGGCCAAAAAGAAGTCTGTCTGAGCTGGCAGAAGCTTCTCCGAGTCAGCAGCTACACGATTGTCCCATTCAGTTTCTTGGCTAACAATCGGGATCATCGAAGCAGAGGTTTGAGAGCTCTTCTCTTTATTCTCTCAACCCCTCAGCTGTTGCTGGTCGTGGAGACTGAAAGACTACACGGGTGTCTTAGATAAAAGGAACTGATCACAAACTCAAGACAAACTCTCCAAATCAGTCTTCCTAACCGATGACGCACTAGATGGCCGAATCAACAAATCTGAGCAACCCCAAGGCGCGTAAGCATCGATGGTTCCGGAACAGATTTCTTTCGCAAAGGTCAAGAATGATTTGTGAAAAGTCCAGGGCACTGGATTTGGATCAATCTGGATCTTGGCAAAAAGTTCAGCAGTGGAGGCATCCAAGTCCTGGCCATGTCGGAGCGCTTGCTAAAGCTGTCAAGTTGAGAAAGAAACATCTTCCTGCACATTAAGGCAGGCCCCGCGACCAAGCACACCAGCTCGGATACTCTGCCTTCAAAGGTCTTTGCTTTGTTGAATCGAGGAGCCCCAGCAGGGAAACTGGTTTGAAGCCAACTCAAACTCAAAAGTGTGGCAAGTCCATGAACCACCGGAGCCAACCCATCACCATCCGAAGGCTTTTTACGCCCGGCAGGAATTTAAAGATTTTGGAGACCGGCACCCGAATTGAGTCTTCAGCTCGGGACCGGTGGCCCCCCACTCCTTCGGTCGGGACTTTTCTGCACCACTCATCCGCCAAGAAGGCTCGTGGCGGCGCTGCATGGGTCATGTCGGACCTGGACCGCTCGGACGGGGCCGCGAGGCATCCGAGCGGAGTCCTGGGGGCGAACCGGGACCTCGGGACCGGTTGGTTGAGTCTCAGCTTGCTCGGACTGGCACAGTCTGAGATGGAACAAAAAATAGAGGTGATCCTGCAAGTCCTGGGAGGTTGCGTTTGGAAAACTGAACGTTTTTGCACTTAGTATCTGTCTAACATCCCATTCACTCACTATCTCGCCTACATCCCACTCTCTCAAAAACCATGTGTCATCTAAGACTCTGGTCTGTAGGCTGCAAATCCTTTGAAAATCGTTCCTGTGAAAGGGCACTTGACCTTCTTTGTACCCTGCTATGATACATGGCAGTTCCTTACAGCCACTGGCCAGACTCTTTCATTCAACTCCAGGCTGTCATCATTGGATTTTCACCGCTCTGCGATCTTGCTTCTCCACCGGCCCTCCCTCCCATCCAAACCCTTGGGCCCTTGGGCCCTTGGGCCCTTGGGCCATGACATGAAGGCAAGGCGTGCATGTGCCATCGCAAGCCATGAGAAGCGATTTCAGCAATTTCAGCAATGAGACTCGTGGAAGCGTGGAACCGTGGAACTTTGTTTGTTTAGAAACAGTTCCATCCTGGATGGTGTACCTTTGAAAGATGCAATTGTTCGGAAACACCAGTGGATTGTTTGGCAATGTTGCTGCAGGCTTGCAAAAACATGGCGCAACAGGCCCTTGTTGGCCGCCAAATATCTGCCCTCGTAGTCTGTGCGAAGTACTTCACCCCGTTGAAGCATATCTATATATATATATAAGTACCCGCACAAAATTGGGCCAAGCTGACACAGCCAAAGCATTTCAGCTTCCACAGAGCACTGTGCACAGCAAGTGAATCTTGCCAAGCAAGGAAGTAAATCAACCGCAGCGTCTCTCTCACCTAGCTCAATCACCGGGTCCTTTCATCCGCGGAAGCGCCGTGCAGTCAGAGCCTCGACGGCTTCCCCCACCCGGCGCTGAAGGCCACCCATCAGCTCCACCGATTTGGGGAGCTCAGGGACTCGAGCAGCCTCCATCCAGGCGTGACCGAAGCAGGGAGCCAACTTGGCGCTCGGGAGATGTGGCAACATCCGAGAGATATCCGCACATTCCTCAAATCGAAGCTGGGGTGGCGAACCAAACGCTATCGAGCAGTGATCGAAATGCGGTGCCAACACAGGCCATACATCGGCAAGACCTTGGTGCAGCCAGGACTCTGCGCTGTCTTTGGCAGCAACAAAGGTGCCCGGACCTGATAACAAGAGCACCCACCAGTCGACGTGGGCACCCTCACCAAACCTCAGATTGAAGGGCCCGGAACATGTCATGTGCTCACAGTTGTCATAGATCTGTTTCTACATGTGTTTTCTGTGGAAAAGCCCTGCTATTCGAACAAGTTGAAGGCTCAAGTAAGGTCGCAGCTTGAAGAAACACTGTGGTATGACTGATCCTGGTAGATTCGATGGCCAAAGGTTTGCTGTGGACTACCGACGAATCAGCCGTTGGATGCTGCCAAGTCAAAAAACAAATCCTTCCAAGGAAGTAGCCGGAATCCGGCTAACCCCTAGTCCAGCTGGATTGAAAGTTGATTGAATTTGGAGCTCCTGATACTCTCAGTTCACACCATACTGTATAAAATGTATATATATATATATCCTATGGCATGATGCCTCCGTTTCCAGTCGACTCTTGCTTCAGTTGGTTGGCGGGACAAAAAGCCACAGACTCCCGTGCTTCAGCTCGAGTCCTTTTCGTGCTTCAGCTCGCAAGCGCCATGGAGCAGAGGGAAGGTGACCAACATCTAAGAGGCCTGTCTCTTCAAAGACCTCAACCGAGCAATTGTCTTTTTCACTTGTACTTGCAATTTCACAACTTGTATTGGATCATATGTGACATACAGATTGTCCATGCTTCATGTCTGGTCTTCGAACAAAAAGAATGAAGGTCGTCGGGGTTGGGGGTTGGGGGTCCACCCAACAGGTTGTTCCATCCGCCAGTCGAAAAAATAGAAATCCTTTTTTCCAGCAAAGCAAGCAAAGTGGATGAAGTAAACACCCCCCACATGTCACTTCTCTTTGCCGCACCTCACGCACGGCGGTGACGGAGCTGTCCAGGTCTCGAGCATCCCGCATGCCTCCAACGGCCCCAAGGTGCCCAGGCATCACCTCCGAAAACCAGATCGAAGGTAAAGAGTTCAGGTCATTTTCAAGTTGTTTCTTTTAGGCCACTCTGCCCCCCTACTACTTAATTAAGTAGGAGCCTACTTAGTTATGTAAGTAGGGGCTAAGTTAGCTCCTAGGTAGGACACAGGATAGCTCACGCTAATCATTTGTTTATTGGATTGTTTGAAGGAATGGATAACTCTACTTTCGCGAATCTTGCACGAAGTCCATGCTAGATTTTCACAATGGACTCCATTGTGACTATATCCCAGGTGTCTTCTTGGTCTGTTCCTCGATACATACCTGCACGAGTACGCAAAAACCATTTTCTGCAAGCCTCAAGGTTTCTGGTGTTGCTGTCTGGGGTTGCCGTCTACTATACTGAGACTAGCTGTGGCAAGTCTCTTGCTTTGGAATCATTCGCTATCAAGATGCAACTGGGCATTCACATTCGCCCAAGCCTTCGAAAGCACTTTCATGAAAATGGTCGCGGGTTCAGAGGTCTTTTAAGGCCCAAAACTATATATACAATATATATATATATATGTATATATATATAGTCACGGAAACAATAAAGAAGAACGCAAATAAAACCACATAAAACACTCTCCATGAACTGAACAAAGTAAGGACCTTCTGATCAGCCATCATATGGCACATACCTTCAATTGAACAAGGCTGGGCAACGATCCTCCAAGCCTCATCTTGCCCGTTTGTTTCTTACATGGTGGGCAACATGTACTTGCCAAGGAGTGCTACGCTCAGTCACATAGAATCAAATACTGTAACCATCCATTGCTAGCCACTGAAAAGACATCCAAAAACTATGTGGGAGTAATGTCCTCAAAATTCAATCTTTGGATGTCTGAATTCACAGCTGGAACACATTCACGAGCTTCAGGGGCCCTGTGTCCAATAGATTGTCCCATCAGACCCAGCGTACCGGCATGTCCCAGCTTCGTAGCTGCAACAACACACGGAAGCTCCCAGTGTCGTTGCGCATGATCAAGACCTGATGCATCAGTATCATGAGTATCATCAATTCTGGCAAAAAATATCCCAAATGTTTCTGAGTGCTGGATTTCCCATATTCACGCATGCAAAAGTTTTGTGAGTTTGCGCATCTAAAGACAGATCATGTGCCGAATGAAAGAATGCCTGCGCATTCTTCTGTCGAGCGCCGGATTCATCGAGTAGAACAGGGATGTGGGATCCAGCATCCATGCGCCTGCCCTGAATGGAAAACTGTGGTGATGCATCGCATGTGTTCCTACAACCTGGGGTCGTCCACGCCACTCTGGCGGCACCCCAAAAACTGCTGAAAATCCAATTGTGAAAGAGTGCGATTGCAACCGCTTCCAAATTTCAACTGATATTTGCGATCAACTTAAAAACAAAGGCCTTTCCAGCCTCGGGGTGCTCAAACCAGCAATCTGCTCTCAAGCAATCATACCCATATCTGCAGAAGACCATGCCGGTCCAATCCGCACTCAGCACATGGCGTTGCTGGATGCCCCACACGTTCCAATTTGGGAAAACAATTCAGGCAAACAAAAATAGATGTTCAAACCATGTTGGCGATCCGATACTTATACTCGAGCGATGCAATATCAAACTCACAGGCAAGGTTTGGATTGGGTTTTGCATGCGGGATACCAGTGTTCAAGCTCGTGGTTTTGATCGCAGCAGGCGGCTGCGTCAAGTTCCCTCTTTTGCCCCACATGGACACACGCCGAAAAAAACAAAAACAAACAACAACCAGCTGGGCATGAATTTGGTGATTTAGTAATGACAACATTTGGCATCTGTTGATATGGGCGAAAATGTGAACAAGTGCCGTGTGTCTGTTAAACACTACTGTTTTCAACAGCGTGTTAGCATGTTAGCACGTGCCAGTATGACAATATGTCAGCACGACAGCCCGACAACGTGCCAGTGCAACACCACGCCGGCATGCAGCAATGCGATTTGCAATTGTCAACCGTGTTGCCAAACCCAACACACCTCCATCAACCACCAAGTACGACATATTCAAGATCTCACATTCAAACACCAAACGCCATGGACACACCATGGCAAACAACTGAACTGTGCAAACGCACCCATGACACAACTTAACCTCCAACATGCAAAACCATCTGGACACATTGTACGACGTTTAAAATGGAACAACAACGTGAAACGACCTGCACTGAAAAATCAGGAAGCTGGAAACACAAAATCCACACGACGAATGGTCAACGTCTGTTTTTGTTGAATCATGTTGGTTGGTAGCGTGCAATAAACACTTGGCCAGGAACGCAATAGAAAAAAATGTGAAAACAAAACTGCAGCGTGAAAGGTGCCAACCCAGCGCTCAACACTGAAACAGGACAAGTGCTCAGGCAGCGGCGTGGTTCCAAAAGCGCAAACTGCATGACACATCCCACTCACTCAACACTCTCAACTCTCACACTCTCACTCTCACTCTCTCACTCTCTCACTCTTGGTTTGGCAAACTGAGTTGGGTCATATCCTGGATTCGGGAGGAGGTTGCGCCATGCCGGCATGGTGAATCTGTAGCATAGCTCAAAGGCAGATTGTTCAGCATGGCCCACGCCAGGTAGTTCGCTTCCCTGGCATCAAGTTGAGGCCTGTTAGCAAGGTGCAATCAAGGAAGGCTTTGCTGGCAATGTATCGGAGTGTTGGTGGAACTTGAATCTCTCGAAGGCTGGCACACAATCCACAAAGGTTTTTCTCACATGCATGGTTTGTAGCGTTTTTGGAAGCCAAATGTGCTGGAGTCGTATACAGTGAGAGGCAGATTTTTGCACGGGTGGAGACGCCATGTGGGCAGAGAATGCACAGGTCATCTTGTGCAACTTGAAAAGTGAGTCATCGGCCAGGATAAGAGAACCAAGCCAAACAAAACCGGAAACACAACCACAAACACAAACAAGCAACAAAACCTGGTCACCATGCAGAGGTGAAACAAAGCGAAAGAGAGGTGAAACAAGGGGCGTCCAATTAAGCAAACCGGCCTCTCAGACAATTTGTGCATGTCTCGACATTCAAAGGTCAGGCAGCAGTCTTGCGAAGTGTTGCATTGCCGTTGCTGTGAAAACACGGAAGCGAGTGCGACCCTTTTGCGAATCCCGCTCTTGAGCCAAACATAACAGTCGGTTTGACTGTATGTCTGTTCGTCCACTCTTCTCTGAAGAGGTCTGACTGGTCACAGTCGTCCAAAACATACTAAAAGTACAAGAAAGCATCTCCAAACACTCTCAAGCAAAGCTAGGCTATACACAGCTCATCTCAAGCACTACAGCTCTATACTTAGGGCTTCTCTAGACATGCTCCTAGCCACTTCTGGTCACATTCCACTTAGTCCTGCTAAGGTGGTCAAAGCAAACACACTCCAAGGAGGAAGATCCCTATCCAGCTCCAACCCCAAGGACAGAAAACGAAAAAGTTCCACTACACAGAGTGACTAGGTCTTTAGAGACAAGCCTTGCCACTGCTGCCCACATCTCAATATCTTGTTTGAACTCAAGGCGCTTGATGTGCTGTTCAACCAGCTGCCGGCTGGGCTGTCGATGGGGTTCATTTATAGCCCCCCTGGTTCTAGGCATGCAGGGCACTGCGAACGACTCGTTTATCAGTAGTTTCTTTCTTGCTGGGAGCACTTCCCATTGGCTACCAGGTCTCGGACCCATCATTTTCCAGAGTTCCGAGGGGATGCTTCGTGGCCGCTTCGAACCTTTGTAGGTTTTCACAAGCCTAACTCCATCATAACGATAACCGTCCGGCGCGATCGACCCGTCGGGCATCATCTCCCCAGGCTCAAGCGGTTCTGCACTGGACTTCTTCATCTCGACGTCAACAGGCGGCTCCGTCTCCTGGGCAGGTGGTTCAATGGGGTCTGGTGCAACGGATGGTGTGTACTCCAAATCGGATTGTTGTGGAATGATCGGATCAGGCACCGGCGGAATCACACGATCAGCAATCGGCTCTGGAGGCGGCTCAAGGCTGTCGGTTTTGGCTTTTAGCGGAAACACATGGGTTTCAGAGGGCAACTCCAATCGCTTGGTGCGTTGAATGACAACGCTGCCATGTTCCAAATGGTAATCGATGGCTTCAAGCTTCGTGACAAGATATTCCCCTTTCCACACAAAACCAGGCTGAATGTGATATCCTAGAAATACCCCTTCATTCGAGGACACCCAAGGCAAGGGAGGCACTTGACCTCGAATGGAACAAGCTCAGAACGAAAGGTGTTTGGGATGAAAAGCTCGTCCGTGAACTTCACAAGATCATTCAGGAAGCCCGGAGAAAGGGAGAAACGGTTCATCTGGGTAGGATATTCGAGGCCTGCTATGAGAAAGGCTCAGAACTAAACTACCAGAGAACGATCCCAGAAGAAAATTTAAAGGAAGAACAGTATTTCAGGGCAAGAATGTCCGGGACGAGAACTCAGACCACGCACTGTTCGCTGCTCAAGCCCCGCCTCAATGGAGGCCGCCAAGATATTGGATGCCTTCGGTTGTCAGCCAGGGTATGGGAAAGAGCAAGCAGATGCGATTCAAGCATATGTCCAAGCGACCTTTAATGGAATCCCAACATGGCTTGAACTACCTCGCAACAGGTGGCCGAAAGATTGGGAAGAGAAATATTGGAAACCCATGGTCCCAATGGTTTTAGCATTGTACGGACACCCCGACAGTGGGGGTATTTGGGAACAGCATTTGGAAGCTAATTTAGCCAAAAAGGGATCGCGTCAGATTTTTGCCTGAAATGTGGCAATCGATCTTCAGGCACGACGAGTTGGACCTCATTCTGGTGGTCTACGTCGATGATTTCAAGATGGCAGGGCCCAAGAAGAACTTGGCCAAGGGCTGGGCCGGCATCCGTTCGGTTGTCGATCTGGGCGAATCAGAGCCCTATGACAGGTACTTTGGGCGCATGCACGTTGAAAAGAACGGTGTCAAACTACCTATCAGTGCACATCCATTTGCGCATGTGTTTGACCCGCAGCGCGCAAGCGCATGCTCTGCACAGATTCATCGAAAGAATGACTACTGGGAGCATGACCCGAACCATCAAACCTGGACGCCATCACTTGCAGCCAAGGAAGAAACTCTTCTTTCCAGGGGACGAAGGGGGCCAGTTCAACGGTTCGCTCAGGCACAAAGGACAACGGTGTTCAATGCAGCAGTGATCATCAATGACGGGTCACCAAACGCAACGAACACTCGTTTGCCCAAAGAACGAATCGATACCTATGAGGATGACTGGACCCTCAAGAATCCGAACATGAAGACCGATGTCTTTTGGACAGGACAAACCATTTTTCACTATGGTGACAACAAGCCCAGTGTTGCTGCGCCATCGAAGAACCGGCCAGGTCCGCATCGATCGAAGCGGGAAGCAAAGAAGGAGGCAAAGGAGCAGCGCTTCAAACCAGTTGAAAGTGTTGTCCCAAAGCCCGCTGGTTGCATGACCAAGCCCGTGAACCTTGTCAGGTATGATATGTCGTCTTTCCTCGAGTCGTGTGTTGAAGCTTATTGTAGGCTAGCTCAAGTCAAACCTGAAACACTCAAGAAGAGCTACACACCATTCACGGAGCTCGGCATTCCGAAGCCCACGCTCTCTGAGAAGGAGGAGCCCGGAAGGTTGCAACCCATTGCTAGTAAGATTCTTATGAAAATCCTCTTTGCAGCCCGAATGGCCAGATTCGATTTACTCCGTGCCACGCAGTCACTTGCATCAAGAGTAACGAAATGGTCAATTGAATGCGATGTAGCGTTACATCGATTAGTTTCCTACATTCATCACACTAAGAACCAATATTTGGAGGGCTTCGCAGGCGATCCGTTCGAAGAATGCCAGCTTTGGCTATTCGCAGGCGCCGACTTCGCAGGGGAACGTGATTCTAAGTCAACGTCAGGTGTGACCATGATCCTCGTGGGCCCTAGCACATATTACCCGCTCAATGCGTACAGCAAAAAGCAAACTGTGACATCGATGAGCTCCACTGAGGCCGAAGTAGTAGCTGCCAACCATGGTGTCCGTGCCGAGGGGATTCCAACCCTAGCATTGTTCGAAAAGCTTATGCTATTCAAGCAGGCACCTGATGCAGCAGCTCGCCTCGCAGCGATGCCCAAGCAAGAAGGCATCTTCACCATCATTGATCCGGAGATCGACGCAATGCGAAACGGAAACGTGGACTCAGGGCTGAAGGCAAGTCACATCAATGGTATGGTTGCATACTTTCCCGAATTCTGCAGAGTCAAATTCATGGAAGACAACCAAGCTACTGTTACGATTTTGTCCACTGGCCATTCACAGTCTATGCGCCATGCCAATCGAACCCAATGTGTTTCGTTTAGATGGTTAAAGCAACAGTTTGAGTGTGGCCAGTTCGAATTAGTGAATGTAAAGACTGACTTTCAAGTCGCCGACATCCTGACGAAACCCTTCACTAGCCCCGCCAAGTGGGAGCACGCGCTGAGGCTTATCGGCGTCGGTGCAATCCGACGGCCAAAGCGAGGCGCGAGCCTCCGCCCCAGCCTCCGCCCCAGCAAACGTGTCAAGTGAAGACATTGATCAGGGGGGCGATAGCTCGAAATATCCACATCGCCTGTTATAATTCTGCTGTTCATCAACGTCCAAACTAGGTGAGAAGCGTGAGCCAGCAAAGAACTGCAAGGTACTCCGCGTCACTGAAAACGAGGACGGAACATCAGAAAGCTGCCGACAATGGCTAGCCCAGGAGATTGAAGCGTTCAAGAAAAACCACCCAAATGGAATGGTATTCTTCTACGCGTCACTTCCATGCACCGGAGGCAGTCCCTGGACGAACGTGAACAAAGATCTGCCAAACGGTAGCGAACGGATTGCGGAGCAGCAGCAACTGTTCGGTGAGCTATTTAAAAGCTTCAAGCGCTCTGTTGCAAATGCCAGCCCGCACAAGCCAAGTGTAACGTTCGAGCTCTAAGTACTGGTCTTGGCCCAGCGTGCAGAAATTTATCAACGACTTTTAGCTACAACAGTACACCTTCCACGGATGCCAGTTTGGTCTCAAGGGATTGAGCGGTAAGCCTTTGAAGAAAGGATGGAAGATAGCAACTGATGTGTCACAGCCAAATGTGCTTGATAGATTCACGTGCGATGGTAGCCACGCACATGAACAGTCCAGAGGCAAATCTTTGAAACTTGCTGAAGGCCATTTGAGTTGACAGACACGTTGCACGAGGCATCCGTTTGTGTTCCGTGGATTCTTCGAGGCCCAAACCCATTCGAGCAGCCGTTTGCCTTGCAGCGCCCATTATGACCGAGCGGGAGCGTCACCACTCCGAATACTGAAAGAGATCCTCCGTGGATGGGATACGCTGTCAGAGCCTTCTGACAAGCTCAATCTTTGCCGATGTTGGACAGGATCAGAGCGCTTAGAAGATGGCTTTCGGCTTAGCCCAGCTTTTGGGCGAGAATGGGATCGTATCCACAAACCGATATTCCTGTACCGAGGCAACTGGCGACCCATCAAAATCCAAGCCACCAGAGGCATTTGACCTGGCATTTCGAGCAGAGTCGGAAAGTGGATGCAATGTTTCAGCCTTGTCGTGCGTTCCAAACGCAAACATTTGTGATTTGCACAACATTTGCACGCACTTCGGCAAGAACATCAAGCACTGGTTCCAAGAGACTTTTGTGGAACCGGACGTCGTGATCATTGTGGCAGATGGAGTTGGTTTGACGCTTGAGGGTGCCAGACGCAAGTCTCAGCCCATTCACAGCCAGCAAAGAGCACAGGCAAGCTGTCATTGTGATCCATAAACAGAGGAAGCAAGAAGCGCATTGACCCTTCAGGCCATTGGCCGTCGAAAAAGGTTCGCCGTGAGCAGACCTCCACGAGAACATGGAAGAGTTGCTGTGACCCCCAAGACAGAACAGCTGATGGATGATGATGCCTGGCGAACCACCGCTGATACGCACCGCACGGCACCGCCACCACGGCCATCTACCACATCCTCCACTAGCAGCAAGGATCCTGTTATCCTCACCACCAACGTTCCCGTCCCACCTAAAGCAGATTTCTCGCAGAAGACGTAGTGGAGCCAGTCGTCCACGACATAGTCGGGGAGAGCCAGGGGCACGGCCCGTCATGGTGGATCCTACTGCATGAAAATGTCAATTCCACAACGCTGAAGTATGATAATGCTGCTGGACTGAGTCAATTAAGTGTCTCACAAATTAAAGCAGGGACATGCGACAATTTCGAGTACGTGGTCCCACACGCGACCTCCGAAACGAATGTCGAATATAGTGCGTGGCAAACACTCCAAACGTGACAAGAACAAATTTGGGCAGCGAGAAGTAAGTGCTCCCAAAAGAAAACAGGCTATCAAAAGGACCATTGATGTTGGACATCGAAAAGACACTATTGGCCTTGTTCCTAAAAGTGCAAATGAACTCCAAGCTACCTACATTCCGGAGAAGCTATGCCCACCGCCACCCGGTGATGCAACTATTCCTGCGGAACAACTTAAAGCAGTTGAAACATCCTTGTCGCAGTCATCACTGGCGGATCACCTTGCATCGCCTGCCTCTCCTATTGATCAACCCATGCAGAGTGGTGAATCCAATCCACCATGCGCGGTTCTGAGTGTGTTTGATGGTTGCGGGGTCGTCATCAGACATCCTGATTGAGAAGTTTGGCTGTCGCCCCAAAGTCTGTGTGCTGTGTGAAAGGGATGAAACGCTCAGATATTTGGTTGCAGGAAAACATGGAATCTCCGTCAACGTGCAGTGGATACATAGCCTCAAAGGAGGTATCTTCCTCTATGCGAATGATGTTGACATTCTCTTTGATGATGGAGCAAGAATCTTGAGAGAGTTCGTCACTTTGAGTGACTTTTGTCATGTTTTTGTTATTGGAGGTGGTCCCTGCACTGACCTCACCTTTGCGGGTCAGGAACATGGACGCTTAGGTATTTGTGGCCCGACAGCGTCTTTTTCTTTACGATGCATCTCGCGCTATACCTACTTGGTACAGTCCTTCCTAAGACACACATTCGTTTTCTCATTGAGAATGCAGGCTCCATGCATTATGATCACTTTACCTTCATCAGAGCCTGTCTTGGCCTAGCACACATTACACGGGACAAGATGACGTGGTGTACTTCTAAAATATCACCAGCTAAAAGACTCCGTCTCTTTTTCCAAAACAATATTCTACACGATACTGTTGATTCTCAAGCCTTGTGCCAAGAAGACTTACAATGGCCGGCTGACTGGAAACCACTGTCCATCCATGACAAAGGGAAGTTTCGTGATGTTTTTATCAAACTCTTCATGCGACTCCTTGAAGTTCTCAGTGACACTGCACTTCGTTACAGCTGGACCAGTTACCATCCTGCAGCTTTACTGTGGAGAACATCGTACTTGGCACACACATGAACGATTTGCTGTAATAGCAAACATGTTCACTGAAAGTTCGGTCCCTGCCTTCCAATGGAGCGATTTTATCCCTGCGATCTATTATCCGGCATGGAGGCGCTTCTTGAGTTGTTTCTACAACAAAACCTCCCAATCCAGAGAAGGATGCTGTGCTTCGAGATGTCCTCCCTTTATTTCACAACAGCAGTATAAGAGTTCCCTTCCGCTTCCTTACTGACACCGAGGTTTTGCGAGTCTCAGGGCTTAGTCGCAACTTTGCCACTATTTCGCGTCTTAAACATGTTTTGCACTCGCGCACAATTCGCTCATTCGTTGGCAACTCTTTCCATCCCAAGCTTATCAGCCTTGCTCTTGGCACGCCTGATCATGTTCGAGCATGGATCCAAGGAAAAACTGAATGCTTCTTTGGTGTGGCCTCCCCGGATGACGTTAGACAAGGTTATATCTCCTTTCGACAAACCATTGAAAACAACCTCAAGATGTCGGGCAGAAGTACCCAAACTACAATTGTACCAGAACCTTACCGACACATCAACTACCGAAACTTAGTTATGTCACCAGTCCAAAAACCCCCAATTGCTCAACCTATAGTCACGCAAAAGCTGCCACACTATCTCACCAAAGAAGCTGTTGACAACAGTAACAAGCACAGACGAGATCAACGTTTCGACATTCTAGGCAAAGAGCCTTTGATCAAGTTTCTTACTGATCTTAACCTCCTTGACTATGCAGAGCAAGCAGCGGTACCGCAATGGATTTTTTTCAATGAAGAGATCGTGCAAGCCTTGTGCACACTCTCTGCCGGCAGTGATGCCCTGAATGTTTATCAACAAGAACTATTGCATCATTGTACCTATCACAGAATCATCCTCTTTCTTCGTCAACTTCTTATTACAATCAAAATCGCTGACACCGGTTTCATTGTTTGCTGGCTTGCCCATCAGCCAATCCATGTGAGATATCTTGGCCCTAGCCGAGCTACAAACCTGTATTTATTGCGTCTCCAAGACACACTGGAGATTCTGCTCTTCAAGCATGGTGGAGACCCCGTGCGTATACAACAGCCTTTGCAATCATCTCCCTGGTATCGCTCCATGTTTGGTTTCCAAACAAATCCTCAGGGAGTTGGAACAGAACGACTATGCGCCTTTGCAATCCAACAAGAACGCATCTGTACAATCACCGAAAAACCATGGACGCATAGCTTTGTTGAGCCAGGATGTGCCTTGTGGCGACTCTCCCACCTTTTGCTCGCAGCAGAGAATAATGTATGCAAGGAACCCTTTGCAAACGTTTGTCATCTTGCGTTAGGGAACTTTCCTGTCGTTCTTATTGGGGGGCTTCTTCAGGATTGGTGCCTCAGCATCTGTCCTGAAAGCGCACGGGCAGCCCACCCACAACTCCAAGAAGCTATCTGGCGAGCAGATAAGTTGCCCAACTACTGTCTACTGCTCATCCACCAATTGGAAACCCCTGAAGCCAGCAATCGTGAACGGCTGATCTCCCTGACGCCCACACCGCACAAGCAGCATCCAGTTCTCCCAGAAATCAGCGTAACAGAACAAGCTGCTGCTTACATCTCTATTGAGGCTTGTATTGATGATTGTCAGCTTATGACGCTCAAATCAGTTTGGTACGCCTGCACGCAAGGAGAGATTTCAGCAAAGATTTTTCACAGTGCTAAGGCACTGCTACACGCTGAATGACGCGATTATGTCATCTACCCATT